GTAGGATCATCCGACAGTTCTCGGTGGTTGCCAGCACGTCGCGGGAAAGGGGCGCGGCGAATAGTCCATCGTAGGCGCGCATCTCCGCTGTAGTGATTGTCTGAACAAGCCCGACGATGCCCAGCGTGCGCAGGATTTGCACCTGGGCGCGTAGCTCATCAGTGGGGGGGGGGGTGCCGAGGCGTTGGTGGCCTTGGTTCTCGCCGAACGGACATGGTGGTACAAGAAGTTGATGCTAGGGCGGCGCACTCGCTTGACGTGGTTTGGGAGGGTTGCGCAGAGGTTGCGGGTGGCCGCCATCAGAAACTCGCCAAGCGTCTAGGTTGGAGGCTGCGGGTTGCGCGAGTTGGGTTGACAAAGGATCACAGGTGGTGTGGTGAAATGGCTCGCGGGCCGGAAAGCAGGCGAGGTGGTCGGGGGCGGCATGCTGCCGCACGGGCCCTGATGTGGCTCCGCGGGCCGTGAGACTGGGCCACGGGCTGAATTGGAGGTGCGGGCCTTGGGGTGGAATTGGCGGGAGAAGCAGCGGCAAGGGTGGGTGTTGAACTCCAAGCACATCCACGCTGCTGACAATCATCGGGTCCGCATTGTTGATGGGGGCCATCGCAATAGCTGTTCCAGAGCGGCGATCCTCCTCGGGCGCGCCAAGCACAGGAGATGGCTGCGAATTAGGCACTTGGTTGGCATCACAGGTGCTTTGGCTGCCTACAAAGCTGCTTTGGGATCAGTGCCACTCGGCACGTGAGAGGGCGAGGAGGGTGCATGACTCTCGAGGCGGGCAGCGCTCAGGCAGTTGGTTGCCATGGCCAGTTCAACTTGACTGGTCTCGTGCGCGGAAGGTGACAACGGGTAGGGTACCACAGGGGGGGGTCCAAGCCAGGGCCGATCAGGGCATCAGCCAGAGGGCTAGCGCCAGCTGTTGCAAGCGGGTGGACAACTGGTCCAGGGGCATGCAAGGGCCCGACCACGGCCGTGGCAATGGTAGGAGTGGTGGGCCCAGAGGCGCCATGTAGAACCTTCTTTTTATGTTGGCGCTTGCGCCTTTTGGCAAAGCGACTATGGAGGCGGGACCCGCCTTGACCAGGCCACGAAGTCATCTGTCACAGGGCAGACGGGGTGGGGGTGTGGCATGCCGACTGTCGTGAAGGGAGGCGTGACAGCAAGGTCTCAACGATTTCCAGGATGCCGCGGCAGGGGTGAGCTTGCACCATGGTCGCAACAAGAGGGTGAAGTTCGCGCCTTGGATCAAATGATCACCGGAGACGCGGTCCATGAGCTGGCAAAGATGAGCAAGAAGTCCTCGGGGTGGCGAAGGTGGATCGAGAAGTCGCCGGGCTAGAGCTCGAGGGTCTCATGAAGAAGAGCTTCCACTTCGCCAGCGGACATGCCGGTGATGGTGGTCACCAAGGCGCGCTAGCACCTCCTCTGTTTCCTCCATCTCGATAGAGCGGGAGATAATGACGCGCTCTGGAGCGGGCTCTTCAGCGGGTGTGGCCGCGCGGGAAGCAGGCGATAGCGGGAGAGCCAGGGAGTCCGCACGGCGGGACGCCTACCTTGGCTCATCGACCGACGCAGGACGCCCATGGGTGATGCGCGAAGGGAGAGGCTGAGGCGGCGCGCTGGGCCGCGCGGGAACGAGCGTGACTGGCGCGGCACTCTTTGCAGCCCTTGGCCTCATGGCCGGATAGGAGGCACCAATGGCAGCGGACTTGGTTGGTGCACTCCCGCACAGGATGGCCAGGGTCGAGGCAACGGGAGCACATACCGGCAGCCACTTTCGGGAAAGGAAGTTGATAGGGCGAATGGGGGGAGGCCACGCCAGAGCGATGGGGGCACCGGCGCTGATTCTTGTGTCATGACTGCTGGAAGCCGTCAGCGTCGATCTTTGTGGGCCCGCAGGCGCGGTGGGACTCAGAGCGCAGGCCAAGGCAGGCGGAGGCAGGGACACGCGCGACCGGGGGGGGGGGCGCCATGCTCATGGGAGGAAGCAAGGGAGCTGCTCACCACGTCGCGATATGAGCGCGCACTGGAGCTCTCGTCGTCTGTCTCCAGCCAACGGTGCCCGCTGGGAATTCGTGCCAGAGGTCGACATGGGGAGGAGGAGGGAGGGCGGGCTACCGGCGAGGAGTTCGATGGCGGCGGGAGCTAGGTCAGGCTAGGAGCAGGGGCGGGCGCCCCACTTAAAGTCAAGCACTAACAGATCTCTAGAACTTGATAGAGGAGGCTGTGGGATGTATTCGGTATGTATGTGTAGAGATGCATTAAATTTGTGTATGCGCAGAGCCAGCCATTTCACATTACTTGATTTTGATGGTGTAAGATTCATCAAATTAGTGGCCAGTATCAGAGATTTTGATTCTAGGTATACAAGTTATTTTGTGTGCAAGCATATAGTCTTCCACTGCTGCATGTTATTCAGATTTGCCCACTAAAGCTGTTATGCTGAGCGGGTACAGTCATACCTAGTGGGTACAGGGTAGAGTTGAAAAGAGATGGTGAGGGCATAAAGAGGGAAATAAGGAGATGGGAGAGTGGGATGGAGGGATGGAGGGATCAGACTTCTCCCCTGTGACCTCGAGCGGTATACACCACAGCAACACCATGACAAACTCTATCCTTACAGATGGGTGTTCAGAGAGTTTTTCTTTTATGATCTGGGTGCTACAGATGAGTATTATATTTCTTGCCTGTACCAGTGGCAGCTCTAGTTAGATGGTTCATGTATGTATGTTTAAGTGCAAGTTTGTCTGCTCCTTCTTTTAATAAATGAAAGTATAGTACATTATTAGTGTTCCTTGTCTATTGCTGTGTGAATTCAACTGTTCTAATCTAATTTTCTTGGGTGTATGCAGGACAGAGAGAATATCGAAAGACTAGAAATTACTGGTGTTGGTGATCCATCTGGCCGTGGACTAGGATTTAGCTATGTGCGAGTAACTCCAAAAGCACCTGTCTCCAATTCATCTCATAAGAAAAAGTCAGCTGCAGCCAAAGGTACCACTGTTACTGGAACAGATGCTGACCTCCGCAGGTTAAGCATGGATGCCGCCCGAGAGGTACCGTCAAACCCAATGATTTAGCAGCACTACACACACTAACATTGCCAGGGGGTCCAGACGTTAACATGACTTAGGATCATGGAACATGTATCAGTGATTACATAAATGTGCATTGGCAGCCTTTCAAAGGGTTATTTTATTGGCTGGTTTATGAAGAAAGTTACATGTCGATCCCTGCAGAGAAAGGAATAATTACCTCCATACATTAACATAAGAAATATAGTTGGCCCAAAATGCCATTGGCTATGGCAGACAAGTGAGACGTACCTCTCTCATGTGATTGAACATAAATGAAAATCTGACCTATTTTTATATATGTGTCATGCCTTTTTTTCTGTCTTTTTTACACTGATCACTAATGCTTGCCATTGATATTGTTGTAAATAGTTGCTTCTCAAATTCGGAGTTCCAGACGAGCAAATTGATAAATTAACAAGGTGGCATCGTATTGCTATGGTGAGGAAGCTTTCAAGTGAGCAAGCAGCGTCAGGAATTACAATTGATGAAATTCCAGTTAGCAAGTTTGCACGTGGACAAAGGATGTCTTTCATGCAGCTTCAACAGCAAACTAAAGAGAAATGTCAGGAAATTTGGGACAGACAAATTCAGTCGCTTTCTGCTATAGACGGTGATGACAATGGCAGTGATACAGAAGCCCATAGTGATTTGGACTCGTTTGCCGGGGATCTTGAGAACTTGCTGGATGCTGAAGAATTTGACGATGAAGATGTTGGTACTGCAGACCTGAGAAGCGATAAAGCAGACGGAATGAGAGGGCTCAAAATGAGAAGGTGCCCTACCCAAGCTCAGTTTAACGAGGAAATTCAAGATGATCAAGCAGAAGCTGCTCTAGTAAAAAAATTGCTCGAAGGTTGTTGATTGCTACTTCCATAACTTTGCTTTCCACATACCAAGTTAGTAATTTTGATTAACGGACTATTATGTGCAGAGAGTGGCAATGACCCGAAGAGGAAGAAACAACCTGTGGATACGACGAATCAGGGTGCCAATAAAACGAAGCAGTTTAAGGCATTGACGCCAAAGGAGAGCACGCCAAGAGGAGCGAAAGAGGTATCAGAAGCTCATCTGAAGTTCAAAATCTAGTCATGGTTGTTGCTGATTCATTTTTGCTGCCATACTAGCAGAAACGAGCTCTAATAGACTCATATGACTGCGTGCAGGTTGACAGTTCTTTTACTGAAGGTGGCTTATCCTCCAAACTGAAAACCAAGCTGGCAGTTGATGCAAACGATATCATTCTGGTTAAAAAGAAAAATGTTCAAGGAAAGGATGGTTTAAAGGTAAGTTTAGAGCATGATTGTTATTTATGAACTGGTATTATATCCCAGCTGGAGAGCATTGACTTTCACATGTGTAGTTCCTACTGAGATTTTGTGGCAAGTTGTATTTAAATGTACATTATTTTGTCTTCTGTTATTAGTTTTCCGTTTTTTTTTTGCCTCTTTGCATATTTGATTATTGATACTGTGCATGATCTCGCACACCAAGGAACTTGCACCGACACCATATTTTGTTGTAGTGGCTCTAATATGGTTGATATTGTCACTCTAGCATAACAGTCGACAATCCAGACTGCCAATTATACTGTGAAAACAGCAGCATGTTTTTTTTTTGCCAGAGTTTGTTGGTTTATAAATTGGGCTTGTTCCTAAACAAAATATAGAGCATATTACAACTATTGGGGTCGATTTTGCACAGAGCACCTACTCTACTGGTTTGTTGCATAAAACACCACCTATTTGTGTAATCTATTGCAGCTAGCTCTAATCCAACGTTTGGCTCAGTTGACATGAATCCTGACGGGTGTGTACCGCTTGTAAGTGCACACCGGTTTGGTTGAAATTGTTAGTATGTGTTGGCTCATTCAAGTTTTTGGTTCAAAATTCGAATTTAAATTTAAATAAGATACAAAAGAATCCAGTTAGTAATACATGTACTCAGTACTGACCTGGAACTTTTTTAGCTCATTTGGACCACAGGTTTGCGGGATATTGGCAGATTTAGTTGGCCCATTAAAAAAATTGACCAGCTGATGTGGCCTTTTCCTTGCCACATGCACACTTACAAGCGGGACCGACCTACCAGGAATCTTGTCACCCAAGCCAAAACGATGGATTAGAACTAGCTGCAACAGATTACACCGATAGGTGGTGTCTTGTGCAACAAACCTGTAGAGTAGGTGTTCTGTGCAAAACCGACCCCAATAGTTGGTGGTTTGTGCAATTTTCTCACAAAATATATAACAAAATTTGGAATGAAATATGGTAAATTATTGAAAAGTTAGATATTTTGGGAAGCTTGTCTTCTTATTTTAGTCAATTACAAATTTGCTTCTTTTTCCAAATGTTTTTTAAAGACTCGAGGTACTTTTGATGCCTTTACATCATAAGCAAACTTCACAATGGATACCAAACCAATGTTTGAAATCCGGTTTACCTTTATTAATCTGGTCAATTTTTCAGAGCTATCCTATTTAGTACTGTAAATTCATCCACACACTAAGTAAATATTAATGGGTCTGGATCAGTTCATTTTGCTAGGCAGACAGGCAGTGACATCTAAAGGTGCAGTAAGTTTATACTGATGATGTTCTATTTACTAGACTGCACAATGACTAGCTGATGAGTTAGTGCGGTGCCATGTTTGTATTCTTGTGACTATTTAGTGACGGTAATACTGTTGTAGGTTTTTTTTTTTGGCTTCCAGATAGCTACTTAGACTAACCAAATTGAATTCTTGTGTCAAGGAACCTATGGTTCATGTTTTCAACTTATTGACTTGAAATAAGAGTAGCATTTATAGCAATGATCATATCTCCTCTTCTTTATTCTTATGTGGCTTGTCTTTTCTTATTTTAAGGAGAAGAGGCAGGGAGCAAGGGGGGACAGTCTTGTATGTGGAGCTTGCGGTCAGGTAAGGCATCATACTACATTCAGTTACTCACATGTTCTGAATTCCCTCCTGACTTTGTGTGTCAAATTGCTATTATAGCTTGGACATATGCGGACCAACAAATTGTGCCCCAAGTATGGGGAGGATCCAGAAACCTCGGAAATGGATGCGATTTCCTACAGACCTAATCCTCTTGATGTAGCAAGTCATGGTCAAACGAAGACACTGGGCAGGAGGTTGGTAGCCAAGGTTTCTTCTGATGTTCCTGAAACTGAAGGGCAAGAAAGCATTGAAAAGATCAAACCAGTAAAATTCAGATGTGGGGCACCTGAGAAGTCCTTGGAACGGAATATGTCAGTGGCAGGTTCTTTGGTTTCTCATAAACTTACAACGGATTCTACAGATTTGAGATCTACTGGAAAGGTTAGCAAGATTAAAATATACAGTAAGCCTAAGACTGAAGATTATCCTCCTGATACTCCTAAGCCATCAGTTGTGATACGGCCTCCTGCTGAAGTAGAAAAGGATGTACCTCGTAAGAAGGTCATCATCAAGCAGCCTAAAGGACATGTAGACCAGCTAAGAGCTATTGAAGTTAGGAGTGGTCAGGAGCCTAGAAAGATAAGGAAAATTGCTGAATTGTCAAGTTTTGAGAAGAACAGCAGAGATGATGATGGTTGGTATGCTGGAGAGCCCAGCCAGATGAATTCCTCACATGATAGGTTGGGTCGGGATGGTAACAGGAAAAGCAAAGAAGTAATGGGAGGTGATGAATCCTGGAGAGCGTTTAAAGAGCAGCGAGAGAGACAGGAACAGAGGCTAATTGAAGCTAGGATTTATAGCCGGGAGGAAGAGCTCCAGAAGGCAAAGAAGAAAAGCAAGAAAAAGAAAAAACATGATTTTCGAGATGCTGACATTCTTGATCACAGGCCATACAGAAATGACAGAAAGGTACCTGAAAGAGATCGAGCATCAAAAAGACGTACTCCAGCTGATATGACAGATTATGCTCCATCAGCGAAGCGACGCAGAGGAGGAGAGGTACTTGTTTTCACTCATGTTTTGTGAAATGTTCATTGTTTTAATGTTTGTCTACGACCATTTTACCGATTCCGCTTTATGAGTTACTTGTAGCCACACTTCAATTAATTACAGAAATATAAGGGATTACCAATAATTGTATGGAAGTCCTTGTGTTTTCTTCTTCTGGCAATTATTCATATCTTTCTCAACGAAACAGTCTCACTCAAATGTATGACCTCAACTCATTAACATGTTTATCTGTGAAGAGATGAAACCACAGTAGTATAGAAAATCACTTGGATCATCATACGTCATCTATTTTATTTTATATTCCCAATTTTCTCATTTTAATCATTACCTTCAACATCGTACATCATTTAGTTTTTCAACCAGTTCCTAGTAGCATTCTCTACACACACCAGATAGGGATGCCACAGCTTGTTTGAAAGACCAAACAGAGCCAATTGATGTTTGTTTCTTTGCTAGACTAGGAATTTGAAATTTGAACTGAACTTGTTTTATCTGTTGAAAGGTGAACTGAACTTGTTTGCATCCTGATGCAGGTTGAGCTCTCCAACATATTGGAAAAGATAGTTGATCACTTGCGGAACCAGACTGCTATATCATTGCTGTTTCTTAAACCAGTGACAAAGAAAGTCGCTCCCGATTACTACGACGTAATCCAGCGCCCAATGGATCTGGGTACCATCAGGGACAAGGCGAGGAAGATGGAGTACAAAAACAGGTATGAATTCAGGAATGACGTGGCGCAGATAGCAGACAATGCGCACATGTACAACGAGACGCGGCATCCTCACATCCCTCCGCTGGCCGACGAGCTCCTGGAGTTGTGCGACAACCTTCTTGATGAAAGCGCGGACGTGCTCGACGACGCCGAGAGCGCAATGGAGAGCTAGCTAGCACAATAACAAAGATACGGCGATGGCCGTGTCCTAACATAGATTGCTGCACCTGCTGATCGGTAGCGAGGTTGGGGAGGAAAGCGCACCTGTACATGTGGTTTAGGTTCCGGCGATCGCATTGAGGCACATGTGATCCCAGTCCCAGCTGTTTTGCCTGGTTGTTGCTACCAGGCATCGGGAGTCGGAGTGCACACAAGCTCTAGGTTAGTCATTGAGTGCCCGCTGTAACTATTCGGCCTCCTGTTGTAAAAATGTAGCTGTGTAACTTTGTCAATATTCAGCTGTTGTAGTCGTGCATCCTGTGCAAATGATATTGGTCCAGATGGGTATAGATGCAACAAAGCAACTATTCTTTGGGGGTCCTCTGTTGCTAATTTTATTGGTATAAAGGTTGTTGAACTAGTATTAATTTGATCCAAACCCAAAATACATGTGCTCACTGAGGTTTGAATCAGTAGCAGTTGGTGAAGGTTATTTGTCTGATGGCAGGTTACACTGTACAACTACAAAATGTCCTAAGCCAAAGCATGTGGGATTGGGTTGTAGTACAAGTTGCTTTCCTGCCTGTTTGTGCTTTCAACATGATTTGAGGTGTTGAATGATGTGTTTACTTTCCTTCAAAAGAAAATGATGTACTTTGAGTGGAGACCTCCCCTCAGTGTCATTGCTTCTCCAGATAGAACATCGTATGCATCAACGATTTTTGAGTTTCTGGCAGCAATGAATCTCCGCTTGCTGTCTCTGATCACTGCACCAGCAGTACCCTGGAGATTGTCCTCATCGAATGAGGCATCAACATTTATACTTTGAAAAATTCCTGTAAAGGTGGAACCCAGTTTTCTTTCCTTGCCCTGGGGTGTGCACTTGAGGCCGCCATGAGGTTTGCGGCAAGTGCTCGTATAGCCACTGCAGACTGCTCCGGGGGCTGAGCGACACTGTCATCAGTAGGGTAAAACTAACCTATCTCACGACGGTCTAAACCGAGCTCATGCTCCTCATTACAATGTTTCCTATGCTCCAACCATAGTACCAGCAAGTTACAACCAAGATCTTTGTTGATGGTCGAAGCCCAAACACGGGCGAGTGAGTAGGTTTCAACTATAGCAAAGTACCCAAAAGTATGTTGACCTTCCTAGAACCGTGAGCACACTTCCTGCATCAATGCATCTAGGCCCAGTTCAGACAAGCTTGCTCACAAGTAAGCTTACTCGTCATGCATACAATGTGCATTCCTACATCTACACTTATACAGGATGCCATCATCATTAATTCAGACAACAAACAAACACTCCTCTGAATTACTATCAGCAACTTAAGACAACAAAGCATACAGCGGCGCTTACCAACAGACGCCGATGATCGGGTCGATGGCGTGCTTGCAGGTGCTGATACTACTGCAAGTCTTTATTCAAGCTTGTCTACACAGATGGATAGAGACTTCACTAATGATACTACTACTGCAACAACAGGATTATTTCTTATTCGATTTGTGTCCAACATGGGGTAGATGGTCCCTAGAGATTTATCAAACAACAATAATGCTGATGTCCAGGCCAGGAGGAAAGAAGCGACATTGATTGGGCTCAATCAACGCTTCCTCCTGTTGGCTCGCCACTGTCTCAGGACCACCTGGACAGCTTCCTTGAGAGACGCCTTCCGTTCTTCCCTGAAGTTCCACAGCTCTCCTACGGGATACCTGGTGCTGTTAACATTGTACTCACGCAGCGCCTTGGTCACCAACGAATATATTTCTTCGCCATGCTCATCTTTTAATTCTCGAAGCTTTGCGTCGTCAGCATTGATTCTTTCCTAAAACGCAGCAAGCATGCACCATTAATTGTTACAAGTAAAACAAGATAACCCAGTTAATGAGACTCTAAACATGTATAATCAAATGGCTGCTATATGAAACAGTATATATATATAGTAAGCTACCCAAGCATGTACTACCTCCGTCCTGGTTTATAGGTCCCCTTAGTAATTTGTGCCAAATTTTGACCAAAGATTTAACTAACAAAATGTTAATGCATGTCAACATAAATTATATCGTTGGATTCATATTTGAACATAGTTTTCAATGATATAATTTTTGGTGACATGCATGAACATTTTATTCGTTTAATCTATGGTCAAAATTTGAAACGGAATACAAAGGGGACCAATAAACCAGGACGGAGGTAGTACAAGCAGTGGTTTCTTACAAATGAAGATCCATACCATTTCCTTTCCATCAACCATGACAGCCCTAAAAGGGTGCCATTCTGGATTCTTTATTTCGGCTTCCCACTTTGAACAAAGGATGGCAGCAGTAACTTCTGCATCCTCTTTCGACAACTTCTGTCCGAGAACATTTGAAACTGCTTTCAGATCAAGCTCGCCCATTCTCTTGATCCCTATATGTGCTCGGCCACCTGGAAGATTAAGCAAGCCCTGTGGAACATGCAGTAGATGAAAAGATGAATAATCCATAAGATCTGAAGAATTAAATAGGTAAATCACATCGCTGAAGCAACATAGCACTGTACGCATCGCAGTTTGACGACTTTTTAAAATAAACATACATTTTCCAGCTCCTTCCGAGCTTCTTGCATCTCAGTATTGCTTTTGCTTTCTTTAATAACCAGAGTTTGGTTAAGTGACTCCATAGCATCCAGTTCATCCATCTTATCTTGCAGCTCCTCACTAAGTTCATTGATTTTATCCTTCGAGACTGAATCTTCATGACCTGGCATATGCTTCATCACTTCCAATTTGCCCTTCAGCTGCTGTATTTCCAATTCAAGCGTTTGTTTTGCTTCCAACTGCTGTTCTAACTCCAGGATCTTGTTTAAAGCAGCAACTTTCTCTCTCTGCAGTTTCCATAGAGTAAGACTAACATACAAGACATGTTGTTCAAAAAACCGAACCATCACAGCACACAAAAAGAACAAGGACGCGTATACCTTCTGATCTCTCACAAGCTTCACCACATCCTCATCAGCTCTCTGTTGTTCCGCTGTTGCCAACTTAAGATGGTTTGATTTAATAGCATTCTGAATTCAAGCAAAAAAAATACATAAGTTGCACGCATATTTCTAAGCAACAGGGCCTAATCTTGTACACTTTCATGCCTTAGTATAGTATGTAAAATGATGTCAGACCGATAATCTTGTGAACTAGTATTATGAGTGATCTTCATGAATTCATATTTATTGGTCTGATGCACCCACTAAAAGCTCAACACTGCATATCGGGGTTACTGGGGCCACTTGAGTCTACTTCAAGAGATTTAAAGATGGTGCAAAAATAGATGAGACGCAGAGCCAAGAAAATCGCAGACCTTCTGCTTCTCCTGCTCAAGATTACTTTTGTCATGAGAACTTTTTGCAGCAAGGTCATCAAGCTCTTTGGATCTTGCATTTAGTTCACTCATCTTCGACTCCAGTTCTGAACGCAGATTTTGGTTCTCATCGATGATCTTTTCAGAATGTCTGCGAGCTAGCTGCTGCATCTTCCGAATTTCTAGTAGTAACAAGTTTTGGTGAATAATTATAATAACTGAAAACATGAAGATGCTGATGACAGAAGAACATGCATCTTGAAACATGTACAGTATAAAAAAGATAACCATCCAAAATTAACACAAACCTTCATTATATGCCTGGAGACGTTGTTCCCTTTGCCCCATCATTTTCTCAAGTGACACAGTTGTCTCATTGTATCTAAGTTCAAGCTCCTGTAAATACTTATTCTTGACCTCAATTTGGTTAGCTAAATTAGCTACAAGTTTATTATTTTTACGCGTTCCTTCATTCTCAAGATCATCGATAGTTTTCAAGTCAGCATTTTTCCTTAAGTGGTCCCCAATTAGCCCCGGAAAATTGTAATCTTCAGCCCTTGCGACCCATCCACAAAGCTTTGACCCTTGATTCATGTTTTGCTTCCAGTCCCTTCTGCCACAACCTCCTGCCTCAAAGTACTTTTCAAACGCAAGTGCATTTCTGAAACCATTCCAGTTTTTTGCAAACTCAACAATAGCATTCCCTGTATGACCTCGAAAATTCCATAATGGAATAACCTTCAGTGGGCAAAATTGCGATAATTCCCCCTTCAAACGATTTCCACTTTCTCCGACTTGACGCCCGTCCTTCCATTCAGTAGGTACATTAACTAGAACTCCCATCCAGGGCCACACAAACTTCTCATGTCTGTTTGGAAGAGGCTGCGGCTCTACAGCAATTTGCTGCGGCTGCTGCGGCTCTACAGCAATTTGCTGTGCCTGCTGTGGGTCAGAAGGTTTAGCAACGCCATTCTTCAAATGCTTGGCAAGGGCACGGTGCGATGCTTTATCTTTTGCCGGTCGATTAGGTGCTGCACCTACTCCTGAGGAATGCTGAAGAAGGCTTTGCATGTTGTAATCTTTATTCTTCCTGCCAGTACAGAATGGGCAGCTGTAACTATCACCATTCCTGAACTTTAAATCTCCTGAAAGCAGGCGGGCCTGAATTTTGGCTCCATACTCGTCAATCTCAGAATCGCTAATATCCGAATCGTCATCTGAACTGTATTCCATTTCCGAGAAGGGTTTTTTGATAACCTACAGGAAAGAGAATCATAAATGTATTTTTACTTCAGTCAACATCATGGAACACTAAAAAGGATATCAGGACTTGTAGTAGTAGAGAAGAATAATACCCTTGCCCAAGTAACAATGGAGTACAATTACACTACCAACAAAACATGAACTTGGACACGTCGACACAACTCTGAAAATAAGATTTTAATATATTGTATATAGTGATTTAGTCGATTAGCATAGAGAACTAAAAAAGTAAGTAGCAAACAACAAGCTTGCAAGCAATGTCAGCCACTACTCAGTTATTCTAAAAACAGAACAGTTCTTAAAACAAAATTACGTCCCTAATCAAACTTCCAATACAATTAGATAAATCTTTACAATAAATAATGTCAAAAATCATCACTTCAAATTTGAACCAGTACTACGGAAATAGCAG